ACAGATTCTTGATCAAAATTCCCTCTACATTCTTTACTGTTCATTGGTTTTACCTTATTTAAGTTACTGTGCAGAGGTTTGGGGCAGTAATTATAAAACTACAACACAATCCCTATTTATTCTACAAAAAAGAGCAATAAGAATTATTAAAAATGTCGGCTATAGGGATCATACAAACCCATTATTCTTAGAGCTAAAATTATTAAAACTGTCAGATCTTGTTGAATTCCAAATCGCACAAATCATGTTTAAGGCAAAAAACGTTCAATTACCTGGGAATATTCAGATATTGTTCAATGAAAGACAAGGGAATCATTATTTACGGGGTTCATTTATATTCACTAATGTTAGGGTGCGCACAACAAAGAGAAGTTTTTGTGTTTCTGTTTGTGGGGTGAAGATCTGGAACAATTTGAGTGAAGAGCTAAAGGGATGTCCAAACATAAAACTATTCAAAAAGAGGTATAAAGAAACAATTCTCTCAAGGTACAGGATAGATGAAACTGCTAAACCATAACTGTTTATATGAATTTGTGTATGCACATATGTATATATATAAATATATATAGACCATTGTCCTAACTTGCCTGTATATATTATATGAATGATTATATAAATTATTCAAGATTATAAGTATACGTTTATATTGTATGTTAACATATATTAAGATGTAAAAGAAAAAATTAAAAAAAAAAAAAAGGAGAAGGGGTCGGATTAAATAAGTGTAAACTTCTTCCGACCCCTTTTCGGACGTGTAATTAACTAAAGCTTTGTTGTTTATTGTTTATTGATATCAGACAATGATACTACAGATTATTCAATTATTAATTAAATTTTTCGTTTTGTTATTGCATTCATTTGTATAGTACTGTATCATGTCTGTATCACCTTTTGTTTCATTTGTATTTTCTTTGGTTTTACACGCTCGAAAAAAATAAATAAACTAAACTAAACTAAATAAACTAAAACATATGGTGGGGATGGCAGCTCAGTGCCCCTATGGTCATTATTTTTTTGCCACACACATTAAATAGGAAAATACTCTGAGCATGCGCAGTGTCGTTTTTACAGTCACCGTTCAGTTAGACAGTGAGAGGGAGGGGCATGATCAGGTTTTGTCCCACATGGCTCAAAACAGCTCAATAGGCACACACTGTAGACACTAATTAGAAGAACACAGACTAAAACAGCAATGTGCAGACGAATCAGATGATTAAACATGATCTTAAAATATATTTTATATATATTTATTTTTTTGTTTTGCATTTTTTTGTAATCATTATTTGTAATACTTTCTGCTGACACTAGGTGGGGCTGCCCCTAATGACCAGTCGCCACTGAATCTGATTACAGTTATGAATATATTTTTGGAACACTTAAAGGAATTATTTGTTGAAAAGTTTCCTCACAAAATGTAATCTTCATTACTAAAGCTAAAACCTAAAGAAATCATCACGGAACAGTTTTCCCCAGCATATCTCTCTGTGCAGCCCGTCTGTGAGCCAGCAGCCCGTCTGTGAGCCAGCAGCCCGTCTGTGAGCCAGAAGCCCGTCTGTGAGCCAGCAGCCTGTCTGTGAGCCAGCAGCCCGTTTGTGAGCCAGCAACCCGTCTGTGAGCCAGCAGCCCGTCTGTGAGCCAGCAGCCCGTCTGTGAGCCAGCAGCCCGTCTGTGAGCCAGCAACCCGTCTGTGAGCCAGCAGCCCGTCTGTGAGCCAGAAGCCCGTCTGTGAGCCAGCAGCCTGTCTGTGAGCCAGCAGCCCGTCTGTGAGCCAGCAACCCGTCTGTGAGCCAGCAACCCGTCTGTGAGCCAGCAGCCCCGCACACAGAGAGAGTGAGAGGACTCTCTGTGGAGTGAAAAAGAGCGGAATAATGATATTTAAAACCTGAACCGGAGTTGGTCCGATAAAATGTGCAAGACAACGCCTATGCAGCATTTCCTTATTGTTATAATTATGAAATTTCCTTATCACTTAATTGTTTCAATAAAAACAAAAAAGGCATTGTGAAAACTCCCACTCTTGAGAACATCAACACTTTATTCCATCTAAGCATGAATGTTTATGACAGATACGCCATATTACAAGAATAAACATCTCTGGGCCCTAAAGAACAATCTATTAATCCAAAACGGTCTTTAATGATATCAATTGTGAACTTTTTTAATATTAATTGTAAATTCAACGTATGTTCTCTTTAGAACAAAGATAGGATAGTTGCAGCTGAAACTGGTTAATAGCAATTTTCTGTTAACCTAGATAAGCATGTTTTTCTTATATCTAGTAAATATATTTTATTTTATTTTATGTTACTCATAAAACAGTAAACCATAGGAACATTTTCCAGAATAGTAGTTAACTTTATATAACATTTACTCTCTCTAGACTCTTCAAAACATCTTAATTCTCCTGTCTCTCTCTTTCCTCACTGTGCCCTGCAGCTGCTCCTGTCCACAAGCTTCTCTCATCAATCACACTTGACCTCTTGTGTTATCCAACAGTGTGAGAGGGCTTGAGCAAGCATTGTACAGCACCTCTGTCATACTTAAACATGAACAGATTCCTTCTGACTGACAAACTTACAAACACCTCTACTTATGACTTTCTTCATAAACTTACAAATTAAAATGGTGGTGAATCGTTTGCGTTTTCAGTTTCCTATCCACTTTAAACAACTACCAAATGAGAGTCACTATTGTATGATAAATACAACTCCTGAATAACATTACAATATATACTTCTTACAGTGAGTTTGTTATTTTATTGTTTAACAAATTCTGCTCTTTCTATGTCTTATACTAGGTGGAAAAATCCACTATCATATTTAATTTTAATACAACCTTAACCTTTCTATATGTACTTCATATACTCAGTAAACCTCTTTTTACTTTCCCTTAACGTTTACTGCATGTGATCAAGTTATTTTGAAATATAATTAAGTACAATTCTTAGTCAAATGACAACTACCATGAAATATACAATGCAATGGTAAAAATCAGTTCTCAAAACTTTTCATAAAAACCACAATGTGACATATCCTACAAAGACTATGCTAAAAGCAACAAATCATTGTTTCTTATTTATTTCAATATAGCTACTACATCAAATCACACATTGATCTATTAATCTCAATGTATTCACTCCAACTTCAGATCACTCATTGATCTTCTCCTTTTTAAACTCACTAAACACTCAGCACTCCTTCTTTCAGGCATCAGAGAAAAGAGCAAGCAGACACACATGTAGCGCTTTATACTGAGTCTCTAACTCATTACGGCCTGACAAAACATGGAAACCTCCACTTTTGAATTTAGTGAATTCACAGAGTCGCGAGGCGAATTTTATCTTTTTAACTCCCTCAACTCAGATCGGGCTTATTAATCTCTTAATTACCGACGGACCGGAACAGGCATGACCCTCCACCCTGTTTTTGTGCACTTGGCTCGCAAAGCAGATCATATCATAAGAAGCATCCGGTTTCGCTATGAGTGGTCGCATTTTCGAGAGCGAAATTATTGCAAGTGACAGATAGTTGATACAAATTCTGCTAATATCCAGCAAGAAAGCTTTCACTAGGACATCTGGGGTGAGGACGCACCACCAACGAAAAACCAATGGGCAACAATCATGGAAGAAATCTTTTTGATGGAACAACTGATTCATAAATTGAGATTACAAGAAACTAAACAGAAAGTGGGAACATTGGACTCAAAACAAAGACATTTGACTGGAACAATAGCTAACAGATACATGTATCTTCAAGACTATAATAACATGAAGACATATCTCTAGTCTTTTATTTATTTCTTTGTTTGTTATTGCCTTGCAGGCCTTTCGTTGCATGATTATTATGTTGTTTGTAAAGAGCATGTTAATGCCATGTATATTGGGACAATTAAGATATACATTTAAACATATATATTTTACATTGTGAGTTTAAGTCCAGTTATCCAACGAGAAGCCACATCAAAGAAGAGTGCACTGGCAACAACAGACTGGTAGAAGATCTCCAACAACAGACTGGTAGAAGATCTCCAACAACAGACTGGTAGAAGATCTCCAACATCAGACTGGTAGAAGATCTCCAACATCAGACTGGTAGAAGATCTCCAACAACAGACTGGCAGCAGATCTCCAACATCAGACTGGTAGAAGATCTCCAACATCAGACTGGTAGAAGATCTCCAACAACAGACTGGCAGCAGATCTCCAACAACAGACTGGTAGAAGATCTCCAACATCAGACTGGTAGAAGATCTCCAACATCAGACTGGTAGAAGATCTCCAACAACAGACTGGTAGCAGATCTCCAACATCAGACTGGTAGAAGATCTCCAACAACAGACTGGTAGAAGATCTCCAACAACAGACTGGTAGAAGATCTCCAACAACAGACTGGTAGAAGATCTCCAACAACAGACTGGTAGAAGATCTCCAACATCAGACTGGTAGAAGATCTCCAACAACAGACTGGCAGCAGATCTCCAACAACAGACTGGTAGAAGATCTCCAACATCAGACTGGTAGCAGATCTCCAACATCAGACTGGTAGAAGATCTCCAACAACAGACTGGTAGAAGATCTCCAACAACAGACTGGTAGAAGATCTCCAACAACAGACTGGTAGAAGATCTCCAACATCAGACTGGTAGAAGATCTCCAACAACAGACTGGCAGCAGATCTCCAACAACAGACTGGTAGAAGATCTCCAACATCAGACTGGTAGCAGATCTCCAACATCAGACTGGTAGAAGATCTCCAACAACAGACTGGTAGAAGATCTCCAACAACAGACTGGTAGAAGATCTCCAACATCAGACTGGTAGCAGATCTCCAACATCAGACTGGTAGAAGATCTCCAACAACAGACTGGTAGCAGATCTCCAACAACTTGCTGCAGCGATCCCGTAGGATTCTAGTACCTGTAGTGAGGTGTGACCCTACCTAAGTGTCAGTGTGGCAGTCGTGCAATCTTACCCTAAATCAGGAGAGGACAGCGCAGAATTCATTTAGGTTACCCCAGTCCAAATGGGTGGGATGGTTTTATTTGAAGAAATGGTCCACACTCTTAACACAGTTTTTTACTTTATCTGGTTACAATGGGACAGTTATACAATGTCTTACTCTCTGGTATTAATTATGAATTTAACGGTTTACATGTTTTCCTTTTTGTTAAAACTCCCTGCATATCTCCAGAGGCATTTCCTCACGATGACAGCAGGTAATACGACCTAGGGAAAGATTCCCAGTTAAGAACCCTGAGACCTGTTTCCCTCTCTCAGCTGCTGCTTTTATATCATACCAGCAGAAGCAGAAGCGAATACACACCAACAGACCCATGTATGTGGAGAAGAGTCATTGCTTCCTGGACATGTCCAGACTTCCCTCAAAAACTAAACTAAAGCTTACAGTAATATCCCATTGAGTCAGGGGCCTCCTGCTGTGAGAGTAAGGGTGTCTTCCCTCTGCTGAATAGTGACACCTTTAGTGATAAGCTATATCAGACCTTACACTCTTTCATGTCAGTTTACCAAACCGTGTACATTTAGTATATAAGTATAGAGCTTCGTGACATATCATGCATTTTACATTGTGGATTCTACAAAATTATATTTGATTATATTAACTTTCATTTTAATTATATAACCCAATATGGAAACCTCCTCAGACTCTGGTTGTAAATGTTGCCGGTTCTGGTCCTCCACAGTCCTCTCTTTACTTGGACCAAACATTTTTTATCACAAACAGTCGAGTTATCGCTTTATATACGACTTACTGGGACTTACCAAAAGAGTTTAAACCTAACAATAAACACTGTCTTCAGTCTCAGGTTCAGAAGAGTCTCCAGGGTTGTCCTCAGTCTCTGGTTGTAAATGTCTCTCTGGATCTGAGTTCCTGGCTGGTTCTGGTCCTCCACAGTCCTCTCCATCAGCTTCTGTTTCCAGGTGTTCAGCTGAGCTGCTGGCTGGAGGCTCTGCCTCTCTGTTCTCCTCAGTTTGAGTTTGACAAAGCTGTGAGGACTGACGACCAACGCACTTATGTCTTTTGACCTGATAGCTCTGTGTAAATCTTTTTTCACAAACACTGCAGCTGAATGGTTTCTCTCCTGTGTGGTTTCTCATGTGTCGTTTTAAAGGTGATTTCAGGGCAAAAGATTTATCACAGACTGAGCAGCTGAATGGTTTCTCTCCTGTGTGGATTCTCATGTGGCCTTTTAAATTTCCTCTCTGTGTAAAATATTTCTTACAGACTGAGCAGCTGAATGGTTTCTCTCCAGCACTACGTCTTGAATCACTGACAGGGTCTTGTTTATTTCTCTGAGAGTTTGAACCTGGTTCTCTGGTCTCCTTCCAATCAGCCCTGTCTAAAGTGTCAGGTTCAGAAGAGTCTCCAGGGTTGTCCTCAGTCTCTGGTTGTAAATGTCTCTCTGGATCTGAGTTCCTGGCTGGTTCTGGTCCTCCACAGTCCTCTCCATCAGCTTCTGTTTCCATGTTTTCAGTTTGTCTTTGATGAAGCTGAGAGGACTGAGGTTTCTCTTCATCATCTTCACTCTTCACAGGGACAGAAGTGAATGTGGACTTGTTGTTATCAGCCTCCTCCAGCCCTTGAAGCTGCTCTCCCTCCTGACTGCTCCAGAGTTCCTCCTGCTCCTCTTTAATGTGTGGGGGGGGGCTCTGGGTCCTCCTGGTTCGGCATATGCTGGTTTTGATTTCCACCTTCCGTAAACAATTCCTCTCCCTGCTGATTGCTGTTAAATGTTTCACAATTGTAGGGAAATGCATGTTTCAAAGAGCTTAAATCTGACAGGCCTACACTGCTCTGTTTCCAAAAATCCTCGTCTTCACTGTCTTCAGTCTCTGAAGAGTCTCCAGGGTTGTCCTCAGCCTCTGGTTGTAAATGTCTCTCTGGATCTGAGTTCCTGGCTGGTTCTGGTCCTCCACAGTCCTCTCCATCAGCTTCTGTTTCCATGTGTTCAGCTGAGCTGCTGGCTGGAGGCTCTGCCTCTCTGTTCTCCTCAGTTTGAGTTTGATGAAGCTGTGAGGACTGACGACCAACACACTTATGTCTTTTGACCTGACGACTCCAGGTGAATCTTTTGTCACAAATACTGCAGCTGTATGGTTTCTCTCCTGTGTGCATTCTAATGTGGTCCTGTAAATGTCCTCTCTGTTCAAAAGTTCTCACACAAACTGAGCAGCTGAATGGTTTCTCTCCTGCACTACGTCTTGTATCACTGACAGGGTCTTGTTTATTTCTCTGAGAGTTTGAACCTGGTTCTCTGGTCAGCCCTTGAAGCTGCTCTCCCTCCTGACTGCTCCAAAGTTCCTCCAGTTCATCTTTAATGTGTGGGGGGGGCTCTGGGTCCTCCTGGTCCAGACTGGAGCTCCACTGCTGCTGCTCAGGGGGAACCTCTTCTTTAACCACCACCGGCTGCTGGGACGTCTGCAGGAAACACACGTGAAATTGTTAAAATCTCCAATTCTGTCTTTTTCTGAAAAGATTCAGAATTCCTAATAAGACAGACATCGATCCCCTATTGATTTACATTTAAATGTTTTTGGAGACTAATAGAATATGTTTACACAGCAAATTATGTTTCTAGATCAATGTATACATTGCATTTTACAGCTGAACATGTTTAAGGTTGTGGTCCAATTTACTATGGAGGGAACCTACTAAAATAAAAACTAAATAATTCATTAAATGAACCAAATAAATAAACGTAGGCATTATTGGATCGGTGAAATGTGACATGAATTTATATTCTTGTTTTAATTTTCTATTTTATTATTTATCCTTAGTATTTATTCCGGCAATAATATTGTAGAGTAATATTTCAGATGTATTGGATCATAATAAAATCTAGGTAAACCTTGATTTATTTTTAATAAAGAGGGAACAGACCTGCTCTGTGGATCTGAGGCTGAGGCTGTAAAACAGCGTCCAGTAGTTTCCGGTGTCTCTCGTTCTCCTGTTTGAACGAGACATTCCTCCTCGTACTCTGCTATCGTTCTTTTCAAACAGAACAAAGATGTCTTCAGCAGCCGCAGTGAGTCGCTGCTTTCACCAACGAGAGCAGCAACAACAATCATTTTTACTAAATCACCACTTCCTGTTAAACACACACCGTTTCTCCGTGGTGCTTCAGTCCTGTTAAAACACACTGTTTCTCTGTGTGCTTCAGTCTCTGTTAAACACACCGTTTTCCCGTGTGCTTCAGTCTCTGTTAAACACACCGTATCTCCGTGTGCTTCAGTCCTCTGTTAAACACACCGTTTTTCTCCGTGTTGGCTTCAGTCTCTGTTAAACACACCGTTTCTCCGTGTGCTTCAGTCTCTGTTAAACACACTGTTTCTCTGTGTGCTTCAGTCTCTGTTAAACACACCGTTTCTCCGTGTGCTTCAGTCTCTGTTAAACACACCGTATCTCCGTGTGCTTCAGTCTCTGTTAAACACACCGTATCTCCGTGTGCTTCAGTCTCTGTTAAACACACCGTTTCTCTCGTGTGCTTCAGTCTCTGTTAAACACACCGTTTCTCTCCGTGTGCTTCAGTCTCTGTTAAACACACCGTTTTCTCCGTGTGCTTCAGTCTCTGTTAACACACCGTTTCTCCGTGTGCTTCAGTCTCTGTCAGACACACCGTTTCTCTTCTTCTTCTCTCTTTCTTTCTCCGTGGTTCAGTCTCTGTTAAACACACCGTTTCTCCGTGTGCTTCAGTCTCTGTTAAACACACCGTTTCTCCGTGTGCTTCAGTCTCTGTTAAACACACCCGTTTCTCTCTCCGTGTGCTTCAGTCTCTGTCAACACACGTTTCTCCGTGTGCTTCAGTCTCTGTTAAACACACCGTTTCTCTGCGTGGCTTCAGTCTCTGTTAACACACCGTTTCTCCGTGTGCTTCAGTCTCTGTTAAACACACCGTTTCTCCGTGTGCTTCAGTCTCTGTTAAACACCGTTTCTCCGTGTGCTTCAGTCTCTGTTAAACACACCGTTTCTCCGTGTGCTTCAGTCTCTGTTAAACACACCGTTTTCTCCGTGTGCTTCATCTCTGTTAAACACACCGTTTCTCCGTGTGCTTCAGTCTCTGTCAAACACACCGTTTCTCCGTGTGCTTCAGTCTCTGTTAAACACACTGTTTCTCTCTGAAGCTTCCTGAGCTGCTGTTTAGCTGGACGGCAGGAAGCAGAGGTTTGGGAGGATGATGTCCCTGATGCTGTTTAGATTTCTCCAGAACCACGGGGGGTCGTGTGTGGATGGCAGCTCCTTCCTCAGCAGATCCAGTTCTCCAGAATTGTCCTAATAAAAGAGAAACAAGAGAAAAAGAAAAAAATGTATTAATCTTATTAACAAATGATGATTGCATTTAAAAATGTCTATATCTATACAAAACATGTCTCTGAAGTGTTCGCTCAAACTACCAAACAGACCACCCTTTGTAGCCATGCCTCATACATTAGTTAAACTGTAAGAAAATGAATATTAAAATTAGAAGAATTTTCATTGGTTCATTGAAATGCGTCATGTATTTTAAGAAAAACTGTATAAATAGAATACATTATATATCTGTTTTTTTAGCAGCTTTTAAAGTGCACCTATCGGGCTATTTTAAGGCATGTATTATGGGTCTCAGATATATACAAATATATAAAAACATGTCTATGATGTGTTTTGCTCAAAATACAGATGAATGCACTTTAGACATCCCTCATATCCCTCTATTCCAGCTGTTAGAGAAACGCAGATTTGGGTCCTTAGCTTGAAAAAAAAAAGAGGAGGCGGAAGCTAATGGACCCTGCCTCAGAATTCTACCGGAGATAAAGTTAAATTCTGCCTGTGATAAAACGCCATCCCTGTTCTAAACCACATCAAGGATTATTTCTGAGACAGTTTGGAGCTCAAATGCTTTTTCTCTTGCGGGTTTATCACAAGGTGAGTTCCTTTTTTTTATTTCCTGCTTTTTAAACACATGTGCTCTCCAGTACAGGTTAGCTCTGAGTGTTAGCGAGGCTAATGTAAACACAGACCATATTATGTCCAAAACACGTCAGGCATTGTTTCTGATAGCAATTTTCTGTGGGTCCATATCGGCAGCAAATCTGTATCCGCTCGTTTTATCCCCGTGTTTAAAAGATTTGGGTACGGAGGAAAAGAGAAAGGGTTTTATTTTCTGACACTGCGTGAGTCAGTGTTGTAGTCAAGTCACCAATTCACGAGTCCAAGTCACTCTCGAGTCACCACTCTTCGAGTCCGAGTCCAAGTCTGAGTCACCAAGGGAGAGTTGTAGTCGAGTCCGAGTCCAAGTCCGAGTCACCCAAGGAGTGTCCGAGTCGAGTCCGAGTCATCATTACCTGTGTTCGAGTCCGAGTCCAAGTCCGAGTCCCCCAAGGAGTGTCCGAGTCGAGTCAGAGTCATCATTACCTGTGTTCGAGTCCGAGTCCAAGTCCGAGTCCGAGTCACCCAAGGAGTGTCCGAGTTGAGTCCGAGTACGAGTCATCATTACCTGTGTTCGAGTCAGAGTCCAAGTCCGAGTCACCTAAGAAGAGTCCGAGTCAAGTCAGTCC